TTCATGTATGATAATAAGGAGCAAAGACCGGCACTCACCCACGGACGACTGTCTCTACTTCTTAGCACCCATCGCCGCCGCCCGTCTCGCGCTGTTCTCAGAGTCCGCTGCAGGCCTCCGCGGACCGCGCAGCCGCATCGCCCGCTCTCGCCCGCGCCTTCACCTCCCGCCAGTGCGGACGCACCGCCGTAATGCTTTCATGGCGCACCCGCAGGAACGACCTCGGCCTACTCCACGCCTCGACACAGCGACTCGAGGGTGGAGACACGCAAGAAGTGAGTTCACGTGTGTGTGCGTGTGTGTGTGTGTAGGTGTTGTGTGTGTGTGTGTGTGTGTGTGTGTGTGTGTTGTATGTGTGTACTGTATTGCTGTGTGTGGCTGCTGTGTGTGTGTGTGTTGCTGTGCTGCTGTGTGTGTGTGTGTGTGTGTGCTGTGTGTGGAAGGGGGCGCGCGCCGCCGTGGTGTGTCGTGTGTGATGTTATGTTGTGTGTGTGTGCTGTGTGTGTGTGTGTGTGTGGTGTGTGTGTGTGGTGCTGAGTGTTGTATGTGTGTGTGTCGTGCTGTGTCGCTTTGTGCGTGTCTGTGTGCTGTCGTGTGTGTGTGAGTGCTGTGTTCGTATCGTGTGTGTGGCGTATATTGTGTGTGTGTGTGTGTGTGTGTGTGTTGTGTGAGTGTGTGTATGTGTGGTGTGTGGTGTGGTTAGTGTGTGTGTGTGTGTGTGTGTTGTGAGTGTGTGTGTATGTGTTGTGTGTGTGTGTGTGTGTGTGTCGTGTGTGTGTGTGTGTGTGTGTGAGTGGTGTGTGTTATGTATGTGTGTGTGGGGTGTGTGTGTGAGTGTGTGTGTATATGTGTGTGTGTCGTATCTGTGTGTGTGTGTGTGTGTTGTTGTGGTGTGTCGTCTGTGTGTGTGTGTAGTGGTCGTTCTCGTCGCTCGTGTGCTGTGTGTCGTGTGTGTGTGTGTGTGTGGTGTGTGTCGTGTGTGTGTGTGTGTATGTGTATGTATGTATGTGGTGGTTGTGTGTCGCGCCGGCGCGTGTCGTGCTCATGCTATTCCGGAGCGCCTCACTGCTCTGTCATGTATGTATTAATGTAGTATGTATGTATGGTATGTATGTATGTATGTATGTCATGTATGTATGGTATGTATGTATGTATGTAATGCGATGTATGGAATGTATGGATGTCTGGATTATGGAATGTATGGATTGTATGTATGTATGTTATGTATGTATGTATGTATTGTATGTATGTATGTAAGTATGTATGTAGTATGTATGTATGTATGTATTATGTAATGTATGTATAGTATGTATGTAATGTATGTTATGTGTGTGTATGCATGTGTAATGTATGCATGTGTATGTATATGTATGTATGTATGTATGTATGTAATGTATGTAATGTATGTATGTATGTATGTATGTATGTAATGAGTATGTATGATAGTATGTATGTATGAGTATGTAGTATATGTAATGTATGTATGTATGTATGTATGTTAGTGTATGTATGTAATGTATTAATGTATGTATGATGTATGTATGTAATGTATGTATGTAGTTATGTATGTATGTATGTAGCATGTATGTATGAGTAATGTATGGTATGTAGTGGTGTGTGTGTGTGTGTGCCGTGTGCGCGCGTGTGTGTGTGTGTGTGCTGCCGCGTGTGTGTGTGTGTGTGCGTGCGTGTGTGTGGTGTGTAGTTAATGTATATGTTAGTTAGTGTGCATATAACTATTGCACAGGCTTCACTAGAATGGATGACGTCACGGTAGCGATGGATGACGTCACGGTCGTGATGGATGACGTCACGGTAGCGATGGATGACGTCACGGTAGTGATGAATGACGTCACGGTCGTTATGGATGACGTCATTGCCTTTAAGGGTTAATTCGGGTAGGTTGCCTGTAATCGAATTTACCTGCAATTAAGCTTACCTGTGCGCGGTGAGCAGCGTGTATTTCAGGTAGCGTTCGCTCGTCAGCGGATGATTCATCTCGTCACGCATGATGGCGGGTAGCTTCTCCTGCAGCAGCAGCGGCGCTTCGTTGTTCCTGCCGCCGTCGCACATAGCGAACAGTCCCTCGTCGCTGCCGTACTGCTGCAGCCGCACCTGCGTTATACACAGCCTGCAAGCACGCACGCACGCACGCACGGGGTTAGGTATGCACGCACGCACGCACGCACGCGGTTAGGTATGCACGCACGCACGCACGCACGCACGCACGCACGCACGCACGCACGCACGCGGTTAGGTATGCACGCACGCACGCACG